CCCTGGACCCTGCCCCCCTTCCCGGGTCTTGCCCCCCCTTCCTGGAGCCTGGGGCCCTGCCCCCCTTCCCTGGGCCTGGATGCTGTAACAATGCTGCCCAACAGGGGGCAGACAAACCCCAAACGCGGGTGGATATTCCAATACTGAGATTTACCAAAACCGCTTCTGTAGAACCTCCCTGGTTACTCAGAGTCCAACCAACGCAGCTCCCTTAACGTGCCCAGCCTCAGGCCTCCGTCCAGACACACCTGTCAGATGTGATGATAATTACTGAAAATCTGATCTCATCATATAAAAGAAAAGGTTCTTCCAACCCCAAAGGATCAGCCCTATAACTTAGCTCTGACCCAAAACTCACGCTTGTTGTCAATTCTTGTTAAGCTAAAATTTATTAAGAAAGAAAAGAGAGAGAGTGTTGGTTAAAAGATCAATATACAGACAGACTTGAATTCAATTCTTGAGGTTCAGATGCATAGCAGAGATGAGCTTGTAGCTGTCAAAAGTCCTTTTAGAAATAGTCCAGAGGTTATAGTCCAATGTCCATATTCAGGGTGGCTCCAGTCAATGACTGGGGATCTCAGTCCTTATGGCTTAAGGTTTCCCCCTCTTGAAACCCAAAGCAGATCTGAGCTGAAGCAGGATCGTGTCCCAGGGTTCTTATACATTTCCAGCAGCCTTTCGGCCTGAGAAAACAATAGGCAGGGCCGGCTTTAGGCCGATCCCCCCGATTCCCCCAAATCGGGCCCTGCACCTAAGAGGCCCGCACCTTAGGTGCCTTTTTAATTTTTTTTACTCACCGGGCGGCGGTCCGGCTCTTCGGCGGCATTTCGGCGGCGGGTCCTTCAGTGCCGCGGAAGACCCAGAGCCGAGTGAAGGACCTGCTGCCGCCGAAGTGCCACCGAAGACCCGGACCGCCACCGGGTATTCGAATCGGGCCCCGCAGGTCCTAAAGCCGTCCCTGACAATAGGCTTAACTCTCCTTCTCCCAAACATCCTGGCAATTAACGCAGGGTAATTTATCCATTAAACCACAACCTTCAAAGAGACATAGAGACAATAATACTATTTCACTCAAGTATCATCATAAATATTAATATTCCTTTTTTGATCTTTGAATCAAAGCTATAGCAATAGACAAGACTTGTTTGCTTACATCACAAGCCCTGAGCAAACACCTCCCCTTCTACCTCTAACAATGCCGGCTGCATTTCAAAACTCTGTTCATTTACAGATCTTCCTAACCAGTCTCTACAGTTCAGCCATGGGTCAGGTCAGTCTGAGTTAATTAACTCTTTCTGGCCCTGTTACCTTTCAATGAGATATTATATCATACTCAGAACGTCACACCCCCTTTCCCTGGGCCTGGGGCCCTGCCTCCCTACCCCATCCTGGGCACGGGACCCTGCCCCCCCTTCCCTGGGCACGGGACCCTGCCTCCCTCCCCTTCCCTGGGCACGGGACCCTGCCCCCCCTTCCCCGGGCACGGGACCCTGCCTCCCTCCCCTTCCCTGGGCACAGGACCCTGCCTCCCCTCCACCCACCCTGGGCATGGGGCCCTGCACCGTTGTCCCTCCCCATTCCATTAAACTAGCTAGGGACATAAAGGGTAATACATTGGAAGCAAGAGGAAGACCAAGGACAGAGTAGGCCCGTTACTCAATGAGGGGGGAAAGACAATAACAGAAAATGTGGAAATGGCAGAGGTGCTTAATGACGTTTTTGTTTCAGTTTTCACCAAGAAGGTTCATGGTGATTGGACGTCTAACATAGTGAGTGCCAGTGTGTGACGAAGTGGGAATGTTCATAATGTTGTCTCTGAATACCATGTGGGTGCCTCAGTTTCCCCTATGCATGTTTTAAGTATCTAGGTGGTGGGATAAGGGGGTGTGATTGTTGCAGAGCCCTAGGAGACCAGTGCGATGCTGTCTGCACAGAGAATGGCCGACACCCTGTCTTCTGGCAACTGATGGCCTGGGCCCCTCCCCTGCAAAGGTGCCAACTGAACGTGTTGGAGAACAAAGAGATCAGGTGACCTCCTGGCCTGGGAAAGAGACAAAGGCCAGAGGAGGGGCTGGAGAGTTTCAATTTGGAGCTGGCTGGGAGAATGGAGGGAGCCCCAGGGCTGGGGTCTAGGCTCCTTGGGGCCCCCCCAAGATGGACCTGACTGAGGGGTCCTGTTGTCTGTACCTACAAGCTCTGTCTTGGACAGGGGTGGCAGGTTTGTAGAAATTTTGGTGGTGCCCAGAACCCGCCCCTGCCCAAACTCTGCCCCCCCAAACTCCGCCCCTCACCCGGCCAAGGCTCTGGGAGGGAGTTTGGGTGAAGGAGGACATCTTGGGTGCAGGCCCTAGGCTGGGGCAGGGGATTGGGGTGCAGGCTCTGGGAGGGAGTTTGGGGATGGGAGGGGTGCAGAGGTGAGGGCTGTGGGGCATGGCTGCAGATGAGGGGTTTGGAGTGTGGGAGGGGCTCAGGGCGAGAGTAGAAGTGTGGGGGGTGAGGGCTCTGGCTGGGACTGGAGATGAGGTGTTTGGGGGGCTGGAGGGGCTCAGGGCTCGGGCAGAGGATTGGTGTGGGGGGGTGTGAGGGCTCTGGCTGGGACTATGGATAAGGTGTTTGGGGTGGTGGAGGGGCTCAGGGCTGGGTCAGAAGGTTTGTGGGGGGGGAATAGGGCTCTGGCTGGGACTGGAGATGAGGTGTTTGGAGGGCTGGAGGGGCTCAGGGCTCGGGAAGAGGGTTGAAGGTGCAGTGGGGGGGGGTGAGGGCTCTGACTGGGGGTGTGGGCGCTGGGGTGGGGCAGGGCTGGGGATGAGTTTGGGGTGCAGGCAGGCTGCTCTGGGAGAGGGGACAGAGAGGAGGACTCCCCCCAGCCCTTTCCCTGCCGGCAGCAGCGAGCTCTGGGGGAGGAGCCCCCCTTTCCTGCCCCCCCAGCAGCACACTGTCACTGTAGCCTCACTGGGGGTGAGGGATGGGGCTGCCTCCTTGCATGGGACAGGAGCAGTGACTGCGGGTGGGGAGGGCCCTGTGCTGCTGGAGGGTCTGAGGGGGAAGGGCAGGCTCACAGCAGTCTGCCCTGACAGGGAGAGGGGGGCACTAGGACCCGGCAGGAGGCAGCATGGAGTTGCAGAGGGAAGAGACAGTCCGTGACTGTCTGCCCCGGGGCTGGGAAAGGCGAGCGGGGGCGCGGGGGCAGCAAGTCGGGGCTGAGGGACACTCGGGGGAGGCGTGGGGGGGGCCGCAGGTGGGGTGGGGGGGACACCCGGCCCCACATATTGCTGGAGCTGGGCCCGGGGCTCTGAATATTGCTGGTGCCCGAGCACCACGTGGGTATGGAACTCGACGCCTATGGTCTTGGACCGTGTTCCTGTCGTCTGATAAACCTTCTGTTTTATCTTGTCTCCCCCACACCCCGTGACACCCTGCACCCCCCACTTCCTGCGATTCACCGTGACTTTTGGCCAGCCGGTGAATCGCAGGAAGTGGGGGGT